TTGATTGTAATTTCAACAAATAAAATAAAAAAAAAAAAAAAAAAAAAGTTAGATTTTATGTTGAATTTGAACGTCCGGCAAGGACGGGGAAAATGTTTCATTGGTCAGCGCATTATCAATTTTCATTATGGCTTTTATTGATACAGAGTTTTAATACAAGAACACAACGATATGATAATGACTGAAATACCACAGTACATATTAAATATGATTATGGATCCAATATTGGCTCTTATTGTAGAACATTCGCTGACTATAATTTTTGTCGTTTTTGAATAGCGACCATGACATTTGCTTTTTTTAAAATTTAGTTACAATAAGTTTAGTTGTCAGAACATATGTCGGAATGTCATGTCGCTGAAATAAATAGTTGGAATAATAAAATAGTGAATAAAATGGATAAGAAAATCTTCCAGATTGGAGGAAGAAGTAGCGGCATGTGCTTCTACCACGATTTAGCACATCTCTGCAGCGGTGAAATCCGTCATTGATATCCCATCATCGTCATCAGATCAACGAAGCCATGACATATTTCACAATAAATTGGACCGCCTTGCACGATAATCTAACAATGTTGATTAATTGACACTATTCTTCATTTTCGTTACACTTTTCGTTTAGGGTTCTGTAATTTTTCATTAAATCAGTTAGCTTGTAACTTTTTTAACTTTTATAAAACTCTCGTAAAATTTCGATTATTTCGCTGTCAAATTTGCTAATTTTTTAATAATTACAAATTATTACTTTTGGTAATTTGTACTCTCCAAGTTGCAAAGTTTCTAACTGATGATATTATATTATGCAAAAAGGGTTACATCGGAATAGTTCCGGATAAATGCTTTCAAACTAATGCCTATTTTACAGCAAAAAAGAAAAAACACATTATATTACTTAATTGGTACTGATACATATGACGTAAACTGGTCTTCAAGATTTTGAGATGTATCCGCCAGGCAGTGACAGCTGATTCAGATATGCAAACTGCCGGAACCACTCAGTGCCGAGAGCAAAGTCGGGTAGGATAGTGTCGTGGAGAAATCTCCAATGAATTAAAAAGAGAAAAAGGCGAACTTCTATTTAACATTTATTGCACAACTAAAATTAACGGTGCTGGACGACCGGACTTTACGTGGACGATTTTTACTGTTATTAAATAGGTTTTGGAGTTTGATATCTATTGATTCACACAGATTCAGCTTTTACGTTCTGTATTTCACCACCATGTACATATGAACACACCGGATACATTCAGATAATTAACAACTGGCCGACGCCAAAGACGAAGGAGCGTCGCTAAAAGTCATACCAACTTAGCGTGTAGGAACTAGTAATCATACCAACCTAATATTTACTCAACATTTACGACGAAGACGATTGAAAGGATTCTAACTTTTTTAAAAATTAAACTAAAAAGTCGTTGCAGTGCGACGCATAGCGCGTTCTGAATAAAAGGTATGATCTTGGCGAATTTACTCTTTGTTCTAAGGGCGGCAAGAAGATTGGTCACCGGAAAATGCGTTTTTATAAATGTGGTTACATGAGCGTTTCAGAAATTGGGTGATGTGTTTCCAAGAGACCCATAGGCGCAGGACTGGAACCACATAAAAAATTAACGAAGAAAATGAAAATTTATGCCACTCGAGTCTCGAACACGAGATTTACATTACTGTATCTAGGACATGACTGTATGTAGATTAATCTAGTGAAATAAAGCGACATTAAATCTGGTACTACAGCTTGTTACGTTTCTTTTAGAAAATCTATTTAAAAATTATATGTTCGTTCATTTGATACTATTTAAAATTGGAGTAAATAGTCTGGATGGATCAAAAGGAATCAAAAACCTCAGAATGTTCCTGCGACTGTAAAAGTATGTCATACAGAAAAAATAACTGTAAGCAGTTATGTACAAGAAGGAAGAAATGTAGAAACAAGTTTCTTTTAATTCATTATTCATAAATATGCCGTTTTGATGCACACAAATTGCTTGTTGTTTTAATTGAATGGCAAGACGAAAATACATCTACAGAAACTGTTTTTAATTTCTCTAACCACCCTAATTTTCGTTATTCTGTGAATTTTTATACGTCATCAAGAACGGTTTTTCCGAAGTAGGACACAGACATTTTTTAAATAGCGTAGTGTAAGTGCTACTCTTGTTACCAACTGGTTCCAACAAATTATTCCACAGGTTACTCGCATCTTGGGAAACACAAAACATTTCTGATTATCAACGTAACACTCATTAAATAATTGTATAGTTTCATCTGTTATATTCACATAGTGCATGTAGTTTTTGATTCGAATGAAAGCAATCAGCAGTAAGATATGAGAGATCGGCGAATCCATCCTCGGCAAGCGGTACTTTTGCATCTTTCAGAATCAGTAAAATTTCTACAGTGAAGTAATTTCTATGAAATTCTGGATAATCAGCAACTTCTTCGTCTATCTCTTGCTACCTATAAAGATGAAGCAAAATGGCATATTCTTTATATGCATCTTAGAATGGATATCAAACGGTACTTGAAATTTGTTAGGGAAATAATATCGCATAAACGTGAAATTATAGAAATAGGCCGATTGTGGGGCGAAATTTCGCACCGTGCTGAGATAGAGGTAAAATTCGTTTTCAAGATTTTCCAGTTTTTCAGTATAAGTATATCACATTTTGCCTTCGTAATTATACTTCGTAATCAATTGCATTATCATAGTAACTAAAAGTTTGTAGTTTTTCATAATATAATTTTTGTTACACGGTAGCAGATTATGTGAAATGTTTCACTGCCAAAATTAGCGATTTTCGTTACACGATATGGTAATGGAAGGATGTAACATCTCTCTAAGATATTTGGTATAAGTGCCACATTCCTAATTGGGATAGACACAAATATTGATTTAGTAAAGGCTAGAGGAGAACTTAAACTGTTTCACACTGAAAGGGCACTGTCGATGATTTCTCTACGGTGAAAATGGAGGATGAAAGCAGTGGTAGTTACACCATTTCGATAAGACATTTTCATGGGATTGGGGTTAGGTTCATAGGGGATAGCCTCATTGCATCCCAATAATCTCTGTGGTCACGTGTCGTTCGAGTAACGATCTCGCCGATCTTGGTGATAAGAGAAACGAGATATTACAGCTGTTGTGTTGTTGAGAATTCTGGATCTTAATTACCGAAATAAAAGTAAAAGAACACTAAGGTTACACTTAGAATTCATATTAAAATAGTTTCAGATTTATTTAATAAATGTTTTCCAGGATCTTCGTGGGTATACATTTGTATGCGTCTCAGCACTTTCTTTGTCTCACCATCTTCCATACCACATTGCCAACGGAACAGTTACATTCATCTGTTTTTCAAAACGCCGCACACACGCATACTTCCACACACTCATATTCACATATGTGTGTCACTACTACGCGGCCAATCTAGTCTAGCACACAAAATTATACATATCTTAATATGTGTAACCCCAAACACTCAGTTGGTCAGTAAACCCGATCAGCAAACGTGCGAGATGCGGATGCGAGATCTCACTAGGAGCTTCCTTTGTGTTCTGTTTTAGGTGGCGACATTTAGCATATCTGTGTACGGGATGATCGTTGTTTTTTTTTTTTTATTATTATTTAATTTGTACTTTACAATATATCCAGCTGGACATTCGGTGAATTTTTCTAGCTTAATTGCTAAATAACATGTGGAGGGCTTCCCCCAGCGGGATACCATCTTCGAGTTTGCCTATTTTATTTTTTTAGTGAAATCAGTGTGGTGTTCTCTTTTTAGTTTCCTTTCTTTTTAGTTTAGCTAGCTGGTTTGGATGTGTCGGTCATTTGACGGTAGAATAAGGAGTGTCTCCACAAATACTTGGGTTTCGCACTACGAACAATATTCCTACACTGAAAAAAACCGCAATTACGCTCTCTGAATTTATTTATTATAAAGACATCAGATAGCTGAAAGGATCACGATCGTGGCATTCGTGAATTTGTGAGCCGCGATTCATGGATATGTGTGAAATTATTACACAGTTATTGAGGATGGAGATGTGGAGTGTAATATTTGCGCGAAAACAATAAAATCCAACAAATGTATGACAAATATGATGAAACATTTAAAAGTGCACAACTCAAGATAGTTATAGAATTAACAGAAATAATGGCTACATATCTTACTTGGAAAATGATAGGAGAAAATAAAAGATAGATAAGTTAATTGTAAATTTGATAATTACCGACTTACTAATTAGTAATTACGCGCCTTGAACCAAAAAGACCGGCATCTCATATCAGACATTTAAAACAGTTATTATCAGTAAAATGAAGAAACGAAGAAAGAAGAAAATGAAAATCACGTAAATACAGAAATACAAAATATCGATAGTGCAATTACCACAAATGGTTATATAGACCAGCAAAAATACTGATTGCATTTTCATAATCACATGCAAGTTCAAAACAAAAAAAGAAAGGGAATTTTTGCCGGTTCTGGCGGTGGAGCATGGAACAAATCTATACTTACGCAATACAAACGTTTATTCTATTACAAACGAGCACGCATATTTGTTGTCTTTAAATTTTTGCACAAACAGGACTTATAGAAAAATCTTTAGATTTCTAATAAGTAGAATTTATAAGGAAATCGCAAGATTTTTTATAGCGTCTTTTAGTAGGGCTAAAAAACCTTAGTTAAAGTATTTACTATTCATTAGTACAAGTAATTATTATTAACTAGTTTTTAAATAATCTTCTTTCCATCCTACCTTTCCTACCTTTTTCTAGAAAGCTTGTAAAATACTATGTGTCCGATTTATTTAGGAGAATACTCACGATAAGTAACGAGTAAGCAGAAAATGGCTCAACAAGTTTCGAAACTTCACATGAGAAAAAGATAGGACTGCGAATCATCTTAAAAAATATCTTATACCTATTAATACACACTACATATATCTGTATGTATATCGTGTCACCTCGTGTTAATTGGTAAGGTCAGATTATAGGGTGAAGGATGTATATTGGTTAATTTACGAGAAATGATTAACGAAAACCTTGGAGTATGGCTTTCGAACGTTGAATACAAGACTTCGTTTGTATTACAATAATTCGATGGACGTATCGTTCGAATTCCTTCCTAGTATTTCACAACAAGTCTTGTTTGCTTTGTGGATCTCTAGAATTGCTTGTTTCTAATACATTTATAGGAATAAAATTGTATTATATACCCCTAGAGCAGATGAAGCTCAGCAAATAGGGATGTGAACATAAAAAATTAGTGGAGTATTCGAATTTTCTATTATAATTCTAGATAGTCTATTATTTTCTATTAAGTACACGACGTAGAAAACTGAAGAATAGTCATAGAAAAAAAATTTTAGAAATTTTATTCGAAATAAGTAATAAAGTAGGCAATAAACTAAATGAACTAGAATTTGCAGAAGAACAACTACTGATATTTGGGCTGTTTTACTTCGTGCTTTTATAAAGGATTAGTAACAATTTTTCCTAATACATTCAACCAAAACTGAAAAAGTAATGATGATGTTTTAAAGTAAAGTAGCCTAATCCATCGTAGAACAGTAATTTAATTAGAGAAATTCGAATTTTCTTTTAACTTTTGTTCGCCTCTTTACGTGATAATAAATAATAATATTAGTAGAAGTAATAATAATAATTGGAAACATAAATTTGTATTTTATAAACTATTTTACAGATAGTTGTATTTGGAAATACTATTAGAACAGTTGTAGGAACTTTTTCATTTGCGATATTATTTTCTACAATACGAAAAGGAATGGTATGGTTTGTATTATTTGTAATTATTAATAATATGTATTATTAATAATATGTATTATTAATAATATGGCTAACTCTCGAGGAAATTTATTTTTCTGCAAAACTGAACAATTTTTACTTCGCTGAATAATAACTTCGTGACTAATTTTTTATTTTATCGTGATAGTAATGAGGAGGAACAAAACAAACAAGCAACGATGAAAGAATAGAAAACGGAAGACAAATAAATAACTGAAAATCACATTGAATATCTCTCAAGCATTCCCAGTCATTCATAACGTCGTCAGCGACGTTTAACTGCGAAGCCGATTGAGTAGTCAGAGAATCTCCAAGTGCATAACCCAATAATTTGGGGTTAAATTTCTAATTATAAAAAGAGTCGACTATGAAAGCGTTATTCTCTTTTATGACTAATAAATCATACAAAGTAATAAATGTATTAATGATTATATAATTTATATACGTAATCAGTTTTTGAGTAAAGAATTTGGGTAACGTACTTTAAAAATATGGAGAAGCGTCAAGTATGTTCGCCAAGTTCCTTCACCACCAATGCTCGCTGACGCGCCTCTATTTTTGACGAGCACCTCCAATAAATTAGTTGCAAAAATTCCAGCATCGGCTGTCAAAGAATCGCCCATCGCGGCAATAACATCTATGTCACTTGGTCTCAAACGATGAACCGATTCGGGAACATTGGGAGATCTGCCACCTAAAAGGGTTGTTATAAAAATTTAGGATATTCAGTTCCTGGAATTATATCGAGCGATAGCAACAGATCCTAACAATTGTACCAAGCTACGATAATGAGTCTATTTATTTAAACGTAATGACAACTTAAAAATATGGCGATAAAATATTAATTGGATATAAAAAGACGTGCCATGTTTGACTAATTGTTGTATCGATTAAATAAATATGAATCACGAAAAATGGCAATAGCATAAAGAGATTAGAAATAAACTTAAAAGTATATTAAAATTTCTGTGCGTTTAATTAATTTAAATTGTCAAGGCAAAATACGTCTAACTGTAATTTAAATTAAGCAATGATTTTAGAAAAGTAAATACGAAAAAGTAATATCTAAGGATGATTTCGTTTTTTCATAATAATGGATAAAAATTTGTCAATAGTAATAAATAAAATTTTAACTACCTCTAACGTTGCAAGGAAATGGAACGTCTGATGGAACCTGTATTTGAAGTTTACTTTTATTTCGCGCTGATTGTGAGACTGATCCCCCGTCGTGATTATTTGCTCCTAGAAAATATGTTTCATTAGTTCATACGATTCAGTTATTCCGATCTGGCTGAAGTTCATTTTGTGATTTCGCTTACGCAAACATAGAATCAAATCTATTTTCAATAATGCAAAAATCACGAGAACTCTTATTTCACTGCTAATATAATTTCGTTTAGAAACTAGGAAACTATATCTGTAAATTCAGTTTCTTATAAACTGAGTTATGTCGCGAACAAACTTAATCGGTTCATGGATTATTTCCATACAAATTACTTTTTAAAAGAGTCACCCAAAAGGAAACATATTACACATGACTTTTTTTACAATAGTGATAAAAGTACATCGCTTCATTTGGAATCAATGACTTTGAAACTTTGGATATCATTTTTTTTGAAAAATTTCTTTTATTTAATATCCATATTATATGATAAATATAACGTGATTTTCAGTATCTGAATTAATATCCATCTTTCCTCTTAGATATTGAAAAAAGAATAATATTAATTCCAAGATTAAAACAGCGATGGATAAGATATTACCATAAATGTAATAGTCTGACAAGTGCCAAATAAATGGAAATGAATATTGAATAAATCTATAGTATTCTAGAGTATGGTGTGTAAAGTATGAAATATTGTAAAGCATTAAATATAAATTTATTACATATGATGATCAAATCGATAATAATTAACATATAATCGATAATAATTAACAAATGAGTAATTTACACTTTTACCATTGCATCCTTAAACAATATTGAAACATTTAATTTTCTCACGCTAAGAAATTTCTGGTAACATCCAGTAACATCGATCATCTTCTGTGATGCAACTTGGCCCTAAACAGGATATAAACTTTCTGCACATTGTATATCTGTATAACAAGAATTGTGTACACTTCTTCTAAAATACCGCATTTTCTCTTTTGCGCCGTTTTAAAAACACATTAGTTGAGAATTACATATCGTTCCCTTTCATATATCATAGGAAATGGTCACTATACAAAATAATCACATTAAGTAAACACGTACCGATACTTTGTGAAAGCCAGTTACGAACTTGCCAATAATAGTACAAATTTATTGGTGAATCTAAAATCATCTTTTGAGACGCCGTCAGCACGCATAATTGTAACAAAAGATACAAACGAGACTTAACCATCGCCGGTCATCTTGTTCGACCAACTAACGAAATGATGAGATATTCGCGAAAACTCGTACTTTCTACTCGGCTATAACTTTATAACAATACTAAATGGATTCAAGGTGGTATCCTTTTTTCCCCCTCAAAGTTTCTCACGATCTGAGATAAATGTACTTGTTAAACTGCACAAAAGGCCGCGCTGGATGCTGCGCACATGTATCATTTTGGAATCTTGATTTTGGTGTAGCCGGTTTTCACGATGAGATGCAATGATCGCTATGAAGATTGTCTTGCGTGTAATATATTTGAGAGAAATTGAACACAATTGTAAAGTCGTTATCGAAAGTGAAGCTGGATTGAGGCAATGTCTGTCAGTATATCTCATGCCCTTACCAATCAAGTATAAGATAAGTCGATGAAACATTTCAAGTTCCGTCATGATGAACGATTATTTATACCTGTTTTCGTCATTAACATAACATACATAATCACTTAAGTACTCTCGATGTCTGATGTCGAGCCACGAAAATAAAACATTGAAATAATTATTCTACATTTTTTCGCAGATTTAGTATTGTGGTACAAGATGTAACATCATATATTCCGTATTATTTGTATAATGGACAGTGATATGCTTCATTAATTTTCAATGCGAAGTAATACATCCATGATAATTGAAAATAGAAATATTCTGAGCGTTCAATAATATTTCTACTATTATTGCGAAATATTACCCGTGACGATAAAAATGACAGTGTTTAGGGAGTGGTGACAGTGTTTAGGCCATGAATCGAAATGGCAATTGCAAATGACGTTTCTTATAAGTAATTCTTCCAATTGTCCATGCCGGACACGGGATGCTACAGGACGAATGCAAAAATTCTTGAATACACGTGCTATAGACATCTGCGCTTTTCTGCAAGTAGAATATTCCACAACTATAACTGGCAATAAGATATACCCATTTCCAGTACAGAAGCAATGAATGGAATAATGAGTTGGAGTTGAGAATAAGATTCCATTCGTCCAGAATACATTTGTTAATTATTGCTTTAATAGCAATCAAGTGCATTAATTAATTACAGACTCTTTTCTTTGCAATATATTTTGTTTTTATATTATCGGTTTGCTGTGGAGTGCCGAAGCGTGCAGACGTGTCTCTAGTGCCCAGTGTAGTTCGAAAACAACACGTGTCGCCCAACCGTCGAAAGTGAACACAGCCAAGTGTTTCCTACCACTTAGGGAGAAGAAAATCCCACGCGCCTACTAGCCTCCCGAATACTAGCCTCATAGCCTCACGACTAGTTATTCATTTTGAATTGACTAGCTCGATGATGGCCCAGCAATCGCGACCAGGCTCTCCGGAGCAAACTCCGCCACCAAACAAATAACGCCAAAAATTCAAAAAAGCGAAAGATAGAAACACGAAAATCAAACACGATCGACACCCGGAACGAACAATCAACGATACAAATAAACACCCACAACAGGTTCGCCGTATTGCAATCCACTAACGACGCCATGGAAATCGCAGACCCGCCGCCAAACCAACACGCAGAGAATCCCTCCTCCCCCACCAATATTTGTTGATGATGTTATCGACATCCAAACAATGATCAAGTCCTTAGAGAGAGATATCTCCA